CAGACCAGCGTTGGGAGGCTGAGAGGTTGGGCTGTGGTGATGTGAACCTTGGGGTGGTCGATCTCTAGGTGATTGGTTATGACGGAGTGAATTGCTTGTTCTCCATGGTCCGGCAGTCGTTGTAGTGGTTGGATAGATATGTTGAGAGCCCATGGTAGATGGGTTGTCGATGGTTTGCTGGACAGAGCGGGTGACTCTTCTGGCTGGGGGGGAGAGTCAAGCGTTGGTGATGACATGGCGGAAGAGCATGAGGATTGGTTGGCAGGTGCGGTGGGTGGAGTGATGTCCTGATTAGCGGGTGCCCTGTGGCGAACACGCCTCCGCTTGATTGGTATCCGCCTGGTGGGGCGGTCGGTGGGAGGGGAGCAGGCATCAATGCTGGATCGACAAGCCTCCGCTCTCCGTTGGTGAGCCTTAAGCGATTTCAGTTTTTCCATCACCAGACCGCAGGCATGACACTCAAAATGCAGGACGGTGTCATGCTCACGCTTCAAGTGCCTCACCAACCCAGCGTGATCCATATACTCACGTGGGATGTATATGCATAGTTGACATTGGTGTGGCGGCTGTAGCGGCACCAGGACTGTAATGGCTGGCATACTTGACCAAATGTGCAGTGAAATAGGGAGAAGAAAGAGCGGAAATGCCCCCTGGGGTGCGAAGCAACCAACCAAGGAGGGGCAGGAAGAGGAAGAAAGTGGCAGAAAGGATGCTCACGCAGAGCACCAAATGGCTACTGCGAACGGCGCCGATAGGAAAAGTGTTGCCAGTCGAGCAGCGAATACACGGTGCGTTTAAACCGTGCAGGCCGCTCTTCCAACGGAAGAGAGAAGAGGGTAGGACAGAGACAGTAGTAGCAACTTACCCAAGGGCTGGGGAGCTGGTGGCTCGGAGTACGGTTGGCAACCTGAAAAATACAGCAAAATTAAGCATATTAATCAAGCTGATAAGAACAGATTTGAAAGCTATTTATTGTAAACAATAATTATATACAGTAAAATGGTTAGAACATAAGCAATGAACATGGGCACGTAGCCAGCTAGCGAGATACAATTAGGTGGTAAATGTAGAGATGTGAGGGTAGAACCCTCAACGCGTTCCAAGGGCACAAGCCTGCTATATATACAAAGTAATGTGAAAAGCGCAGTTACAAGGGCACTGGCCTGTTATGCGCGATACAGTGGTAGAGACGCGGTATGATACAATGATTAGGGCTGGTGACAACCGTTGAGGTGCTGCATATAGATGTCTTTGCTCCATTTGATACAGTCACTCACCATAAGAAAGCGCATGAGCTTGGCATACCGTTTAGAAATGCCCAGGCGCTGGATGACTCCCTCGTTGGCGGCGTCGTATCCTCCAAGTGCGCCAATGACGAAGGCGTCGATAAATGTGTCGAAGCCCTGGTCCCGGAAGTAGGCGGCAAGGTCTGCGTATTTTTGTACTTTCTTCTCACGGGCCCTGTTGAAGGCATCTTCGCCGTTTTCAAACGGCGTGGCTACATCTACGATGGTTGCTGTTTTTGGTGACTGGTTGATGATAACAATGTCGGGCCTGCAGTTACCAGTATATCCTGGGACTCGTTGGTTGGTGTACACCGTTGCATGTTTGCGGTCAAAGGCGTTTAGGAGGCGGTTGAGTATGGCGTTGTGCCTCTTAGTGATGAGAGAGAAATTGGGCGGGCAGTGATTGATCATGTGTGCCAATGTCTCTTTGTGCCTTTGACAGCGACGGCAGTTTCGAGATGTGTTTCCAAAGCGGCGGAGGCCGCGGAGAGGGACAACGCTGAGTCTAGCTCTATGTACAAACCTCCAGTCGGCAAAGCTGACAAAGTTGCCGTCACGGAGGAAGTGGTTGGAATTCGGGTTGCCTGCGATTAGGCAATATGCCTTGCCTTGATCAGGCTTGCGCAGCAGGGCCGTCAGGAAGGTTGATTTGACAGCATTGGAGATGGAACTAGCAGTGTTGGCCTTATTTAGTAGTTTGCCGTCGATGGAAGGGGTGAGCGTGCCGTCGTCATTCGGGTGCCATTTGATGTTGATGCGGGTTCTCAGCCGACGTGTGGCCATCCTAAGCCGGGTCCAGAGGGAGGGGATGTCATATGGATCACACCCAACTTCTGTCATAGAGCACGACTATGAGCTTTCGCGCGCCGCCGGATGGTACAACCTGCAAACAGACGTTTCGTATTGCATCTTAATTCAGATAAATGCCAATAGAGGCGCTGTTAATGCCATAATATAGGCTTGTGGAATCTGCGAATATATGAGGTATGATATCCGCAGGGGTGAATGAAAAATGATTGCCACAAAAAGGAGGAGGCCAGTACGATATATTATTTAACAAACTTTATGCACCAAATATATATATATTTATAATTGAATCACAATATGATAGGTCGGCTTAAGCCTGGCACGTGGCAGCTTACACAAAGCACAAAGGGTCTACACAAGACAATCGAAGGACACACCTTCACTGTTGCACGCCAGGAACCAGAATGAATGTTTTCCGGTTCCCCACTATATATAACTCCTCCACCACTCTCACCGTGCTGCCACACAAAAACCGCCCAAAACACAAATAAAACCGTGATGATCGTTTACAGCAATCGCGACGATCGTTTACATTAATTACATTGACAAAATATATATATATACAAAGATGATTATAGGTAAAAGAAAACAATTTTTTTTTTTTACAGCAGAGACCGACAATATACACGCGGATGACACAAACCAGTATCCTCTTAAAGTAAGTAATTATAAAATTGAATGTAATAATGAATGTGGTATAAACTGCAGTCATTATTACATTCAATTTTATGAAACTGATGTTAAATACCAAAATGTAAATTTAACTCAGAAGAGTCATACTGTATTTTGAAGCCTATGAACATTTTTTGTTTTTCTGCTTTCTTTATTTATGATTTTTTTCTCACTGTTTTTAAGTAACCTTTAAGAAAGATAGCAGAATATATTTGGTATTATTCATCAGGGAAGTGGAGGTGACTCTCATCCAACTACTATTCAGTTCATGTACAGTACCTATAACGATTAATGTCTGTTTATAATCTGGTACAACCATCTAAATGAGGAGCTATCGAGAATGATGAGCTAACATGCTCATTAGGTTAAAACTCCTTTCAAGACACAACAGGAATGTCATTAGTTTGGAAGAGAAAGAAAAGAATTTACAGACTACTTTCTGGGAACCAGAAAGTGTACTTGATCCAGTTCTAGATATAGGACAGGATTAAAGCTGCAGTCACTACTTCAAAAAACATTACTTTTTTTCTAGAGAGCTTCTTTGAAAGATTATTGATGGAAAATGCAATGCATGCACTGGAGCTTCAGTACAAGAAAGTCCATATTGATAAAATCCAAATGAGGAGATGACTAATTTGGTAACATTAACAATTACTTTATCGGTAACACACACACATACAGAGTGAAAGGGAGAAGAAAGAGAGCTTTGGAAATCCTGGCAATTGTATATATAGAGCTTGGTGGCTCAAGTTTTACAGTACTTAACACCATCCCTCAATTTCAAAAGATTTAGTTCATGAAATTGCATTAGTTATGCATTACACAATCTGATGTCAAAGAGAGTGCCAGCTTTTTTAAGCTGATTTTGAAGGTCTTAATTATGGTTGGCCGTTTTGATTAGGGTCTTCTTCAGTTGGTTGAATAGGTTATGAGTCAAAAGTGATCTTGAAACTAGGTTATGATAGGTTATGAGTCAAAAGTGATCTTGAAACTAGGTTATGATAGGTTATGAGTCAAAACTGATCCCGAAATAGTGGCGGACTTCAATGCAGCACAGATAATTGCCTCCACACCACATATTCACCAACTAAAATGGCTAGAAGAGATGGAAATTTTTAGGGCGTATGACAAATCCGAGTGCATTAATTCAAGAGAAGAGATCAGCCTTTCCATGGCGTGGCAAAACCTACTCCATAAAGAGTGATAACGAAATTATATTAAGCCTTAAAAATAAATGATATTAGGGAACATGAGAATATTAAATAATCTTTATATCTCAATAACATGTTTTGGATCGTTCTCTTAAATTTGAACATCGACCGTCAAAATAGAACAATTTCAATCATATCACGTGACGGATTAAGCGAATGGAACGATACAAGTTCGGATTCATTCAAATTTTTTTAAATCGCTATTTGATCCAGCTGTTATCCTGATGAAGAACCCAGAAGGGGTTATGAAAACGTTTGATTTGTGAAAGAAAAAGTGATACGCATCGGTTATAGGTTCAGTAAATCAGATTTATTATATACAGCCCGATGTGCAGTGATAGTATATTATTATATAATTATTAAGTAGACACTGTAGACAGTGTGCGTGGTACAAAATAAATCCGAAATGAAGAACTGTGTTTAGAGACAAACCAGTGCAAACAGAATATAAAGTGATTGCGGCTACAAAATGATTTAAGCAGATAAAGAACTTTAAGGTACATAAGCATGGGAGGGAACTGAACACAGGTTCATGTAATGAGAAGTTTTCGAACCATAACAGAGTAAAATCAAAATGATTTAAATTAAAATTAACAGAGCATGGCTATGAATAAGGCAAGGAGACTGGTCCAATTACTCTTGCATATGGATAACCATAGATGAAAACCTTTAAGCAAGAGTATTGGTCAGCAACAAGATTTGATCAGTCACCCTGGATTCTGTTCATCCACTGGGGTGTTGTTCTTCAGGTATGCTGGCATTCTGTTGTGGGTAGGAGATGAGGGCTCTGGTCCTGCTGAGGAAGTTGATGAAATCCTTTCAGAGTTCTCTGTCCTGGAATAAGTCTGTTGGTTCGGGTGGCCAAGTTAGCCCTTTCTTTAGGCAGTTGGTGATTAGTCCTAGCCGTAAGTGGTCGAAGTTGGGGCAATGGAACGTTAGGTGTAACGCTTCTGCAATGGATTGGGTTGAGCACGTACAGTTGCTGTTGTTAGCTTTCCCGATCCGGTGATGGTAGGCAGGAAAGTTACCATGACTGGTGAGGATTTGAGATGTGTCCGCTTCTGGAGTGTAATGCTTGGCGTTCTTCTTGGAGTGTAGTGAGGATATTCAGGATAAATTTAAAACAGTTTCTTCCTGTGTTAGCAGAAGACCACTCCTGCTGCCAAAGGGCCTCGGCAAAGTCCCAAAGGTGATTCTTCAATGTGGATTGAGGAATTCTGTCGAATGAGTGATGACACAAAGATCTGCTGCCGATTTTAGCCAACTTGTCCGCTGTTTCATTTCCTTTGATGCCACTGTGCGAAGGGATCCAACTAAATTGTAGAGTGTGACTTGATCGAAGGTCTTCTGCTGCTGATAACATTCTGGCAGCAAACCTTGTAAGGCGGTTGTTCTCGTGGAGGGTATGGAGCACCATTCTGCTGTCTGTTAAAATAAGGATTTCCCCTTTGAATTGACTAATGTTATTCGTGATGTGAATGATGGCTTTCAGGATGGCCCACATCTCTGCTTGGGAGATGGAGCAGTGGGGAGCCAGCTTATGGTAAGCCTGGTAGCAAGTCCTCCCTTTAGAGTTGATAATGACAAAGCCAGAACCATTGCCTGTGTCATTGCTGGAACCATCAGTGTAGATGGTCCAATTAGCCTTAAGATTTTGAACGTTGTCGAAGTCCCAGTTGATGGTGTAGCCTAGATCGTCGGACGGATGTTGGCTGTGCTTGTCCCTCTTTAGAGTCCTGTCCACGCCATATTTATGAATGTTGTGGACCAACTAAGTATTGTCTTTAATGAGGTCAGCAAAGATGTAGTTATTGGTAGCACTGTTGTCTTGCCAGGGATAGGTACTGGAACTAGTCAAGTGCCAATACCAATTTAAAAGCTTTGCCTGGATGTGAATAGGGGGAACATCCGCCATGACCAGAAGTGCATTTGAAGGAGCCATTCTGTAGGCTTTGCATATCCTGATTGTGAATTTTTTCTGGGTAGAGGCAAGCTTGTGGCAAGTATGTTGTTTATTAAGCACCTCTTGCCAGACCGGGACAGCATAGAGTATGGCAGACTCGATCGCTGCTTTGTAGATTAATTTACTGTTATTGTAGTTAAGGCCCCAACAGTTTGCTGACAGCCAATTTAATCCAAATACTTCGAAGGAAGACTCTGGAATGGGAAAAAGAACGGTTAGTCAATTTATTGTAAAAGCCTTACTGTCCTTAAATTCTAATGTTATTGTTATTGCTGTGCCAATCTTTAAACACCAGTATTAAGTCCTATTAATAAGTAAAGTCCAAGTAGACAATTAACAATAAGGTTAGTCAATTTGTTTCTGCTTGGTTGGTTCTATTGTTTAAATACTGGGAACTGGGAGCATACAAATTCCCAAGAAGTGAACAAGTAATGGTTTTTAACGTTAGTGACTATTTAATATTACTTTACACTATTTAGAATTATTTACGATATTTTCCCTTTTTTTTCTGCTTTATTTTAAAAATAAAAATATAGTATTAAATAATGTTAAAAAGTTAAAGAAATTTATTCAGTTTAGAAGAAAAGAAATTTATGAGTTATTTAATGGAGAATAGAGTAGGAAGTGAGATAGAAAGTTTAAATTAATTTTTTTGTAATATTTTTTCTTTTGTTTTCCTTCGTTTTCACATTTCTTTTCTTTTTGTTTATTAGATACCAAAGTCTTCAGTATTGAAGGTAAAATCATCTGTGTTTGACAGTAATATTTTGCATTTTAATATATTTTAATTAAATAGGTTTAATTTAATTTTATTTAAATGTTGTCAGATTTATTTCAAATTTAATATAATTATTATTTACTAATTATTTATTAATTACTACAGACAAAAATAATATTAACAAGAACCTAAGTATTGACATACATAAAAACAGGCTACAACTATTAAAATAGAATGTTTATACAGTCGCAGGCGAGGCTGTGTGCAGCACTCGGGGAAGTGACACGTTACAAGTTACGAGGCATGCAGGGGAGGCCGTCAAGTCGGGAGGGGAGGGGAGTGGGAAGTATGGAAGGTGCTTGACTGATACTGTATACACAAGTCACATCCTATTGATGTAACAGACTGAAGAGGGGCGAAAGTCCGAAACGCGTTTATATATGAATTAAAAGTGGATGATGAAACTATTTGCCAAGTGTCGATAAATGCACCAAGTCGTGACATAGAATTAGAAGAAACAAGAAGAAGAAGACACGGTTTCGACAAATAAATAAAGCAATATTATTTTAGTGTTAGAAAACATTTGAGTATATTTTTAACACAATTGAATCTCTTTGAATACAATGGGTTTAGTAAAAGTNATTTCAAATTTAATATAATTATCATTTACTAATTATTTATTAATTACTACAGACAAAAATAATAATAACAAGAACCTAAGCATTGACATTCATAAAAACAGGCTACAACTATTAAAATAGAATGTTTATACAGTCGCAGGCGAGGTTGTGTGCAGCACTCGGGGAAGTGACATGTTACAAGTTACGAGGCAGGCGGGGGAGGCTGTCAAGTCGGGAGAAGAGGGGAGGGGAGTGGGAAGTACAGAAGGTGCCTGACTGATACTGTATACACAAGTCACATCCTATTGATGTAACATACTGAAGAGGGGTGAAAGCCCGAAATGCATTTCTATATGAATTAAAAGTGGATGATGAAACTATTTGCCAAGTGTCGATAAATGCACCAAGTCGTGACACAGAATTAGAAGAAACAGGAAGAAGAAGACACAGTTTCAACGAATAAATAAAGCAATATTATTTTAGTGTTAGAAAACATTTGAGTATATTTTTAAGACAAATGAATCTCTTTGAATACAATGGGTTTAGTAAAAGTATCTGCTGTTATCATTCGAGGGAACATAGCCTAAAGTCAAAAGATTTCTGGCTACTAGGTCTTTAATGAAGTGTGCCCTTATATCGATATGTTTTGACCTTTTGCTATATTCATAGCTTTCAATCATGCTGATGGTACTTCGATTATCCATGATCATGACTGTGACAATTTTTCTTCCAGTGTTTAATTCCGATATTTTTCCTTGAAGATTGACAAGTTCAGCAGCAGTTACTGCAGATGCCAAATATTCTGACTCTGCTGTAGACAGTGTGACAGATTGTTGTTTTTTGGATGACCAGGATATAAGATTATTATTGTGAAAAAATTGCATAACCACTTATGCTTTTCCTGTCATTTTTGTCTCTTGCCCAGTCTGCATCTAAGAATGCAATCAGCTTTTCATCTGTGCAAACTGAATAGTTTAAGGTTAGGTCTTTTGTCTGTTTGAGGTATCTCAGTATTCTATTTCCTGCCATCCAAAGTGCTCCAGTGGGTTCATCAAGATGTCTACTCAAGTAGGAAACAGCAAACACAATGTCTGGATGAGTAGTGTGCGCTATGTACAATACAATAAGCTCTCCACTAATTCTATGAATGGAAACTCTAAAAGTATCTTCTGAGATCAGCCTGAAATCCATGTTCCATTGGAGTTAAAACACCTTTGCATTCCTTCATTTTGAATTTTATTAAGAGTTTTTTGATAATATTTTCTTGTGATAATGATAATGTATTTTTGTGCATAATGATGTCTATTCCTAGAAAGTTCTTTGGGTCTCCCATTAATTTTGCACTAAATTCTGTTCTTAAGTTGCTTATTTGTTTCTCTAAATAACAAAATATCATCCACAAAAGGAATCAAATGTATACTATCTCCATTATATAAGCAAAAATCATAGTTTGAACGAGTTAGTCCATTTTTGATAGCAAAGTTATTAAAACATTCATTCCAACATCAAGGTGCTTCTCTCAAACCATATAATGCTCTTTTTAATTTTAAAACTTTACTGTTTGTTATTAGACCTTCTGGAGGTTTAATGTATACATCAGCTTTCAGTTCACTGTTTAAGAATGCAGTTGGCACATCAAGTTGGGTTATCTTCCAGTTTTCATTCATTGCCTTTGATAGGAGTAATCTAACTGTTGATATTCTTACTGGTTAATTTAAAGTTTATTTAGAACTATTACTTGTTACAAATCAGCAACATGCTGAGCAGCAGGAAACCTTGTACATTGTTTCTGATGACCTAAACATTAGTTAAATAATTAATAAGAAGACAATAAAATTTTGACATGGCCATAATACCCAAGAATATTTACAGTAGTAAGATATATACAATTATATACAAGGTGGGTATTATGAGAGAGAATTATACAGAACAAGTGCAAATATTAAAAAAAAATGAAAAAGTTAAATAATATTTCTATATTGAGTATAGATTTTAAGTAAGTTATAAAAAAAAAAAAAAACAATTTACAGCATTAATATTTCAGCTTTTACATTCTACAAACATTGGCACTTATAATTACAGAAAATTCATATAAAAACTGTACAATTACTAGATATTATAAAATAGAGTTGATACAAAGGTTACAANAAAAAAACAATTTACAGCATTAATATTTCGGCTTTTACATTCTACAAACATTGGCACTTATAATTACAGAAAATTCATATAAAAACTGTACAATTACTAGATATTATAAAATAGAGTTGATACAAAGGTTATAAAATTATACAGAAATAATTTTATGAGTATAATAGTTACAATAAAAGTTTTTATATTTTACATACAAAGGCATCAGTGATTACAATTACAGCCGAATCAGAAGTAGTTTTATTGCCACTGATCATTAAATACAAATTTATTATTAACATTTTTCCATATAATATTTTCAGTGCCAAAGTATAGTGTGTTGTGTTTCCTGTCAGAAAAGTGTTTGTAGTCAGCTTTTAGTTTGAAGTTTCGCTCATCACAAATTTTATTTATTACAAAAGATGCATTTGATTTTTTATTTTCAAAAATAAGGGTGCATCTCACTTTCTAGATGACTCTCTTGGTCACAGCAGTAACCCAATTAATTAAGTAATTATTTTGGGTTTTAACAGGGAAATTAGAGTGGAACTTTACGTTTTGCCAGGCGATACATATATTAAAAATTTTGTCTACCCAGTGCCAAGTTTGCTCAGCGATGTGGCACTCAAAAAATATGTGATAGCTACTCTCGTTGTGATCACACCAAGGACAACGAGCAGTACTTACATGCTAGTAGGTGTGAGGATACTTCCTAGTCATCATGATGATGATCAAAATTTTCCATATGAGTTCTCTCCACTCAGCAGGGAGCCTCCCAACATTTACCCAGGTCTCATTCCAATTGATTGTAGTAGCCATTAGATTTTTGTTGATACTATAATTCTTTTAAGTGGCTCAAAATCACTCTGCGAAATATGTCTAAAAATGATTTTATCAAGATGTTTGATATCTTTTTTTCTTAGAACAGTGATATAAAAGTTAAACATTATTCTGGCAATTAAGATTTTATTTGCAATAGTGACATGGTCAGGCAGGTAAAGCCAAACAGTTTCCCAGTTGGAAATTGCGTTATTAATTTTATGAGACATGCTCTTAAGATTGTTTTGATTGCTATCTTTACCATACCATACACCTAAAATTTTGATACTGTTGACAGTATTGATGTTCATGATATCACATAATGTTGCTGTTAATATTAAACAATTTACTTTTATTTTCATAGATTCTCATACCAGTTAAACTGCTGAACAATTTTATTTTTTCAATGGTTTTGTTGAGGGTCACATTGTTGTTTATTAATGTCATTGGCATGAGCCACATATTTGATGTTATTTTTAAAACTGGGAATGTGAAGCAGAGCTATTAGATTGTCATTGTTAATCATTCTCAGAAGAGCTTCAATNGCTGAACACTTTTATTTTTTCAATGGTTTTGTTGAGGGTCACATTGTTGTTTATTAATGTCATTGGCATGAGCCACATATTTGATGTTATTTTTAAAACTGGGAATGTGAAGCAGAGCTATTAGATTGTCATTGTTAATCATTCTCAGAAGAGCTTCAATATAAATCGTGAAGAGAATCATAGAACAAGGGCATCCTTGTCTTACATTGCAGTTGATGTAATCAGAATCACTGTTATAAATGTTAATTTTTGTTTTGGGTGCCTGGTACAAAATTTTGATTTTATTAATTTCATTATTGTTTAAGCCTAAAATATCTAGAAGTTTCCAAAGAACTTTCCTATTGACCATGTCAAAGGCTTTCTCAAGATCAATAGACAGGATGGAGAGTGGGGTTCTCTTTTTAACACAAATCTCACAGATTAAATTGATAAACATGATATTATTTTGAATAGTGCAGTCCTTGATGCCAGCACTTTGAGTGTAACCTATATAATCATGAAAGATTATTTCAATTCTTTTAGCAATAATATTATTATATATCTTATAATCGATATTAAGCAAAGTTAAAGGCGTATAGTCACCAATTTGTCTACACTTATTCCCTTTCTTATTTATTAAAATCATTTTTCCCTCATTAAAGTTGGCAGAGAAGGAGTTATGATTGTAAAGTATGTAAAAAATGTCAGTAAAATCCTCCCTAAAGTACCGGTAAAATTCCGCAGTCAATCCGTCAACACCTGGAGCCTTTCTAATATGCAGATCATTAATAGCGTCTTTAATTTCTTTTTTTGATATGATTTTATTAATGTAATTTTCATTTTTGTCTTTGACAGGATTAACAAATTTTGTGACTTCATCCCAAAGATTCCAGTCAGTTGGGTGTTCTTTTTATAGATTGGTATAAAAATTCTGAAATTATTCTTTTGATATGATTTTATTAATGTAATTATCATTTTTGTCTTTGACAGGATTAACAAATTTTGTGACTTCATCCCAAAGATTCCAGTCAGTTGGGTGTTCTTTTTATAGATTGGTATAAAAATTCTGAAATTATTTTAAAATTTTATTCTCATCTTTGATAATATTATTATTAATGATTAATTTGTTTAAATTAATAGTTTCTTTATTTTTATTTATTTTTTTGAATATTAATGATGTTTATTGATGCCTAGTTTGTTCATTTTGTAACTTAAGTAATTGTCTTTTACTTTTTTTTCATTTCAGCACTGATCTTGCTCTCGATATTTTCAATATCATCGTATTTATTTTCAATAATTTTTGTACTTAATTCCCTTTGAAGTAATTTAATTTTATTGAAATTACAGGTATACCTTGCCTTACGTCAGTAATTGGTTCCAGGAGAGACAACGTAAGTCAAATTTACTTGTCTCCGAATCTACTTGTCACTTGGCTAAAACATAAATTACCATTCCTGGTTCTGTATTTTATTTATTAATGCATTTTTAATAATATATGGTTAATAAGGATCTATTTTAAGCTTACAGACAAATAAATTTTAGTTTTTAATATAGTACAGAAAAAATAATTTAAATTTACAAATGCATTTACAGTACTTTAAATACAGTACATACTTGTAAATGTATATATTTTAATATGATTTTATGTGCTTTAAACGCTTTCCTAGTGATATTACGACTTCAATATTTGTGGCGGACAGGCGTAAAGTCGAATAAAATGACTTAAACTTGATTTTTATTTTTCCATATACTTTTTTGACAAACGACGTATAATCGGGAACGACATAAGTCGAGGTATACCTATATTGTTTTTTATTTGCTTCCAGGTAGATTTTATAGCATTGTTTATTTCCTTTTTTACGGATTGCCACTGGTCCCAGTTTGTGTTTATTTTATTCCTGTCTAGGATTTTTTTGATATTTATTTGAAATGATGGATCAGTGAGAATTACGTTTGTGACCTTTATTTTGTTTATTCTTTTTTTTTTTTTGCTTTATTTGAATTGATATCAATGTTGAGTAATTTGTGGTCAGGAAACTTTTTGCCTTCATTTAATAGATAGTTAGCAGATATGTTACTAATTTTAGCACTTTTACTGTTGAAATAGATTCTGTCCAGGCGTTCACGAACTTCCTTCCCCTCCCAAGTAAACCCACGAGAATTGGGGTAGACAAAGCGATAGGCGTCATTGAGATTATAGTTATTTATAATACTATTAAAGATTTTTCTTGAGCCATCATAGAACATATGACCATTTTTATCCAAAGGATATAGGATACAATTTAAATCACCCACAATGAACAAATATCTCCTCCCCTTAAGATAGTTAGGTAAGTTGGTAAACAGTTCTTTCCTGGCAGGTAATTGAGGAGGTGCATATATATTAACAATTCTTGTAAGATTGTTATTAATTTGGATGTCCGCAATTAAGATTCTCCCCTCAGAGTCTGTTTTGAAATCATTTCTTTTAATACTTTTATGGATCATGGTGATAACACCATAACTCCTCCTCAGAGCAAAAGAAAGATAAATGTTATAAAAAGAAAAAGGTTTTGAAGTTTTCTGAAGTCATAAAAATCGTACATATTACTACTGTCTTGTATTAATAAGATATCCGTTTTATTAGTAAGGAGCATATCGAGTGAATAAATTTGTGTAATTTCGTTCTGGAAACCAGAAATATTGATAGACTTAAGATTGAATGCGAATGTTAATGATGATTGTGTTGAGCTGCTACTCTTTTATTTTTCCTTACTTTAACTTTTTCTGTCTTTTCTATCATGTTCTCCCCAGTTAAGGTGGCATGTAGACTTATGGTCAAGCTCTTTTCTCTGACTTTAGCATCAATTTTTTATTTCTGTAATCTTTCTTCTAAAGTATTTTTATTTGTTTTTTCATTAGTTTCTTTTATGTCATCGGATTCTATAATAATTTGATCTTTCCTCATTTCTGTCTCATTTTCTGATTCTAATTGTTTTTCTAAGTCTATTTTTTTCCTAATTCTATTTCCTGCTCTATATCATACTTTCCTATTTTTTGTTGTGGTTCTTTCTGACTTTCTTTTTCATTGCTCTTATTTTTTTCTTGTGTTAAATTTTTAATTTCTCCTGAATTAGCTTTTTGTGTTTTTATCCTTACCAAACTTTTATCGCATCTTTTCTCATTATTTTTATTTCTCCCACCCCTTTTACAGATTTCAAAGAAGGTAGGTGCAGGACAAATTTCATGTTTGCCATGAAGTTGATTACAAATATAGCAAAGAGGGCAGTCCCTAATTAAATGTTGTGAACTCTTACATCTATGACATAATTTTATGTTACATTCTTTTATTTCATGTTGCAGGCTACTGCAACTCCAGCTTGTTTTTTCTTCCATTATAGTACAGCTGAACTTTACTTCTCAGTATCTCTGTAAAATTTGGCAGTAGCTTTCTTGTTTTTATGACTACGCAATAGGTACCCATTTTAAACTTTTTGTCTTTATAAGTAACACTATGAACTAGAACTTTTATAACTTTACCATAATTGGAAAAAATTTCTCTAATTAAACCTTTATCCGCCTCATTGGGAACATACTGAGTGGTAACCATAACTAAGTCTTCCTCTAATCTTTCTGAAATATATTCAAAATGTCCTACCTTGATGGAGTGCCCAATGAGTTTTTCCTTCGCCTCCACTGTTGATAGTCCAATCTCTACTATGTTCTGTGGCTTGAATCATAGTTGTTCAACGCCACCTAGAGTTCCAATAATGTCCTCGCAAGCAGTTATGATATCCGGTATCATTAGATGTTCTTTTGCAGTAAATCAAATTGATCAGATTGTATATTTTCTAATCCTCTCATCAGTGGTTGTAGATATTTCCGGTTCATGTTCATTTCCTTCCATTGGTTTTATGTCATTCTGGACCGATGATAGTTGATCGCTGCATTGTGTAGCACATTCGTTGTCCAGAGGTTGTACAGTACTTCAATAAAACAACCATTTTTGATGTCTGTGGTTGGCATTTCTTTTGTTGCTTGAGCATAGCTGGTTGATGGTTTGTAGTTTTGCTATGCTATATCATGTTGAACAGTGGAATCTTCAATGTCCCTGTAATCATACGTTGATATCTTTGTGAGGGACACACCGGGGTTTAAATGCATAGCGGTAGCTTCATTCACAACTTTTCCAATAGCACGCAGGCTACAGGTTGCCTGTTGTAACTTCTCCATCTCCTATCAACTGTTTCTATGGTAACAATTCAATGCAGATGTCCTTGATTTTCCCGCTAGCGAGAAAATATCTTTCAGCTACCGTAGTAACTGACCGATTGCTATGACAATCGTAGTTCTAAAGTTAAGTTTACTTAATGGTAAAATTTCATATTTCAACTTGCAATATTTTAAAAACTTTTTATGCTGAGTCCTTCAAATTAACAATGTATGTGGTGTGTATTAACGTCGGAATTAGATTACGAAAAAGGATTGAAACGGATTCTCATGAACAGCTAAATCAACACGTCTTTATTGAGTACATAACAGTGCAGAACTGACTGCAGTGCGCAGGCGCGCTACTAACTATATACATTTGAATTGCCATAGATGGCGCTGCGATACATAGCATCATCCCCTCCTAAGGAGAAGTTACAAACATANTACTGACTAAATAGATTAAACGATTATCTCAATAGCTTTTACTTAACCAGTAGTACTGGCCCGATGTGGCCTTTTGAAGACCGCGAAATATCAGCATAAAAATCTCCATATCTCACACATTTTTTGAACTTAACATCCCCAAAACTTTCCACAGTACTCATGGCCTTTCCTCAAAGAAGATGACACCTTCAGATCCAAAAAATCGGCCACCGATTTCCAAATGGTCGGTCCTCGGTAAACCCAAACTTTGGGTGACCACTCCTCTTTTGATATCCGATCCATACATTGAAAAATTGTATCACTGTAGGGTAGGGTGGGGATGAAAGGGACAAAATTCATATTTTTATTTTTCACTGGAAAAGTTTACTTCTAATCAGTTTTATTTTTAGTGCAAAAGATTTATTAAACCTTTACTTTGTTCTGACCATATTGTGAATTCATCCTATTATATTGGTAGTTGAACATGTTCATATTTTTAAAGACCTCTCCAAGTGTCCCTTTCATTCCCATGTCTGGGTTGAAAGGGACACACTCGGGGATGAAAGGGACTACCTGCGTTTTAATGTAAAACTTGGAATTAGTTATCTCAATGTTTTCAAATTTTGTTGTAACTGATAAGTGATAGGCTAGAGACTAAAATTTTTAAAAATTACACTTTTAATAATATGAATTATGTCACATCACATTTATTTTAAACAGTTAAAGATTATCAATACTTTTAAAACAATTAAAGATTATCAATATTTTTAAAACAATTAAAGAATATCAAATATTTTCAAACAAAGAACAATAACTAAAGAATATCACAATTAGTAGGCT